CCTTTCATTTCCTAACCATGTCGATAATTTGTAGACGACCCTTTCATTTCCTAACCATGTCGATAATTTGTAGACGACCCTTTCATTTCCTAACCATGTCGATAATTTGTAGACGACCCTTTCATTTAATGTTTTTCGGAAGATAACTCTGTACCCTTGGTTACATCGTAAATCGATCCAAAGCAGGGCGTGCGGTTCTAAGATGCCGAGTTTGTTTCTATGGAAACTGACCGGTGGTAAGCCTAACACTCTAGGACGTGTAGTTGCTAGATGGTGGGAGGCCAAGCGTGTTACTCAATATAAGAAAAGCTTATAATGTACAAATAAATCTTTTTTTCCGTCTCCTCTGCCATCTGGTTAAACTGGACTTCAGAAGATACTGGTGATACGAGTCTGTCTGGCACTTTTATTGAGGACAATTTGTATTGTTACTTTGTTGCATTCAACAAGTGACAATACAAATCAACAAAATTTATTGTGGTCTTTTTGTTATCTCTCTCTCTCTTTTCCTTCCTTCATGAAGTGATAAATGAAATAGAGAATGGTTCGTGCTGCCTCACGTGATATACGTCTCGTGTACTAAATTGGAATCTAAATTCTTAGACACGCCCAGTATTGACAAGTTTTAACTTATGGTCGGTTCATGACTGTTTTGTGTACAACTAGAATGTTTACAAAGAAAACCTTTATATGTAGGGTGTTTTAAGTTGTATTTCACTCACCAGGGGCGAACCTGCACTTGTGTAGCGTTTGAAGAATACTCGGCATTTATTGCTACTAATTTATTCTTTTGGACTATTCGGCATAGACAAGTTGTTTGAAATGTTGAAAATAAATTTAATTTTTAAAGAAGACCTTTCTTTCTCTGGCCGTATGGATGAAAATAAACTTTAAGCTTGTTAGCAATTTGCTTTCCTGAAAATTAAATCACTCTAAAGATGAGAATAATAAACGCAGATCAGGGTGTAAAAAAACAAAAATCTGATTGGCTCTCATTCCGACGTTGTAAGATCATTTTGTCAATGGAAAGCATTGACTGACTTTAGTATCAATTAATACAAAATATTTTCCGTTTTTTTTTGTTTTTTTTCGTCTTGGGTGGGGGGGGGAAGTCTTGATTTAGGATTAAGAGCAGCAAGATAGAGAGAGAGAAAGCAAAGTAATGGCAAGAGGGGGGGGAGGCGTACAAACAAGGTCTGTTTCATCATGAGGTTGTTTTATTCCTTTGCTTCAGTGTAGATCGAATAAAGACACGTTCACAATGCAAGTTTTTTTTCTAGTATAACGTGTGAACTTTTCCTGGGTTTTGATACACGTAGTTATTTTAACTTTCCGTCTGTTTGTTCGATCAGTGGTCTAAGCAACGTTAAAAACATCACAGGATAATCAGTGTCTGATTCATAACTGAACACACCCTGTTTCCCCAGGATCACTGTACAGCCAAGGTCAATAGACGGCGTGGCACGTAGTGGAGAGAAGACGAGGAATTGTTAGAACTTCAGGTACACCAAAACACGTGATTCGTCGCAAACCAACCATTTCATCATTCAAGGATGAAATTGACCATCAATAGATCTATTTGATTTACACTTTAAGCCACGTTTGTTTGTTTTTTTTGTCCTGTACCGTTTTTTTTTTTTTCATAGGCCGAGTTACTCAAAGGTTTATTTGAAAAGTTGGGCCGACAGCAGCCCATTAGTAAGCCCACCGGACTATGAATCCGAGGTTATATGGTTCATGTAACGTTACTGTCAGTGCCGGATTTGGACTTGGTGAGGCCCTAAGCTACATAAAGCTTGGAGACCCCTTGTTAAAAAGTTACACCAGAAGGCCTCGCAAAGGTGCGTACCAAAACAGGACCTTTGGTCGCCACAAACAAATTAAAAACATGTATATGCCTTTTAATTATTTAATAGCGAGGTATTTAAAGTGAAAAATACAAATGATTTTCAAATGAATGCATTTACTGATTACATATTTATCAATCTGAAATTTTGTGAGGCCCCTGCAGATTGTGAGGCCCCTGCGGATTGTGAGGCCCTAAGCTGTAGCTTGTTTAGCTTATGCCTAAATCCGGCACTGGTTACTGTCAACAACAAAAACTGCGCTCTTCACTTTGGGCAAGTTTCAAATTGCGCGAAAGTTAACAGAAAGACATTGAAAAGTTTCATGTACTTATTGTTTTGTTTTTGTAAATGATATATAATTAGTGTGATCATTTTTCATTTGTAAAGCTCTTAGGACTTCATCTGCAAGTTTATTAGTATGAATTTGTAGCTTATATGCATCTCAAATGTGCAGTTGGAAATTTTTCTACAAGTAAATTTATTTTTATGTTTTTCAGGATAGGACTGGATCACTTTGGAAACTAAAAGCTTCAGATAAAACGATGAAGCCACAAAACGAGACTCTACTACACCTTGTTAATTTCATGATCACCGTTAAATCATCTTTGACTCAGTCATCTCTTTCAGACTTTACTGTGCCAGATGTTGATACTCGGACACCAAGATCGTCCCTGAAAGACAGCAGTGACTTGTGTTTTACGGAGCAATGTGAACGCACAAACTCGTCATTCAGCGACCCCATGCGGCTAAGAGAAGACTTATGGATAGTCCCACTGATTGTATTGTCGTCGTTTAATACTCTTATTATAGCCTGCTTCGAAGCATTTGTACTATATAAAGCTCACGGAACATCGCCTAGCCGGAGACACCTGTTTTTAGGACAGATGTTGCTTCTGGGTTTGTTTCTGAGCTCAGTGATGGGTTTTGCCTTTGTACCAACAGCCCACTGGGTTACCTGCACAGTACTTCGGATTGGATTAGGGCTTGCTTACACTTTAGTGTTCGCAGCATTATTGGTTAAAAGTGTTTTTCTCCTAAGTCTTCACGCTGGTGTGTATCTTCCAGCTTCTTACCAAGGTCTCTTACTCTTCTTCGTTGCTGTCGTACAGGTTGTGATTGGCGTGCAGTGGGTTGTCCAGCGTCCTCCAGCGGTCGTTATCAGTACAACTGAAACTCTTACCTGTAACACTAGTGTTGCCAGCATGTTGATGATTCTCATTTACCCCATGTTTTTGATCCTCTGTATAACTATACTGAGTATTAAAGCCAAAGGAAACCGCGAGAACCACCGGGAAGCTATGTTTATTGGAATTGCCATTGGTTTCACCATTCCCGTGTGGTTCACCTGGATATTGGTTGCCATAGCAACAGAACCACGTTACCATGACGCCGCAATGGCGTTCGGAGTTGTTATGAACGCCGCCATCATCTTCTTGGTGATGTTCTTGCCAAAAGGACGTCAGTTAGCAGCAATGGGACGAGAAGGTCTGTATCCTGGAGATCTTGATGAGCTATCTTCATCTGATAATTCCAGCTGTACTCCATCTTTCCTTCATATTAAACCGCCCTTGATGTCACAAAACAAACAAGGCATGATATTTAACCCGACCAAGCCTACAACGACAGGTAGGAATTAATATACGTGTATTTGATATGCTAGATATAAGGTGGTATCCGTTTTTAAAGAAACTAATCCCTTTTCTCAACGTCATACGTTACTAATATAAAAGTTGTTTTTTTTTTTCAAATTCTCTTGCCCATGGTCGTCTTAAAAAAACAAAACAAAAAAAAAACGTATGTTGCTATTAGTTACAAAAAAAAAGCTGAAACTTTGTTGAATGGACGGCAACTGCCTGTTGTAGAAACAAGTGTAAAGGACGACGTTTTGAAAGTCTTCTGCCTTTCGTCTTCAGGTCAGTGTGTCAAATCAAAGTCGTGGCAGTAATTTAGGTTTCAAAATCTTTCAGGTCTCAGAATTAATTTCTAGGGCCTCAAAAAACAACCCTGGGTGGTCAGAAACTTTTGTTAGTCAGTGTGTTATTGTTACTTACGTGGCAGGGGTTCAGTTTGAAGAGAGAGAGAGAAGACTGGTGGATTGTGGAAAACGTGTTGTGATTGGTTGTTTTATCCTGTTTCTGATTAGAGGAGAGTAATTTTTTTTTTCATGTAGATTCAACCAATGGTAGCCTCAGGTTACTCACCACTACTCCGGAATATCTGTTTAGTGAAGGTTTTATTGTGTTAATATCAAGATAAGACATCCATCGAAACAGAACGCTAAAATATCGTAGAGGGTGTTAAACAGAATGGTTACACCTCCTCCCTCATCAAAAACTCCATGAAGAAGACCACAACAGAAAGAAAAAATCGGAAAAACACTACCACTACTACTATTTTACCTCCCTTACCTGCAAACTTTCAGTGAAAAACTCAAAGAAATTCAACATAGATGTCCGGTGAAAGGTTTGAAATGGTAAAGAAACAAAACCTACCAGTGAGAAACACAAAAACGTTATTTATGTAATTCCGTGTTCCTACAACGAAACGTACATTGGAGAAACGGGAAGAAGGCTCGTGACAAGAATAAAAGAACGTAACGACCGTACAAGACTCGTGAAAACACAGAATTCAACCATTGCAGAACACGCTATCTCAACTGGACACAAAATAAACTGGGGGGGGGGGGACTAAAATCATCGACACGGACAAATTTCGGAAGAGAGAAAAAAAAATTAAAGAATCGTTTAATCATTTGTATTAACAAAATCAAATCATCACTAAATAGAGATTCCGGATTAGTGGTAAGTAACCCGTGGCTACCGTTGGTTGAATCTACAGGAAATCTCTCCTCCAATCAAAACACCCGAATAATAGGAAACTCCACTAAAATTTAATCAACCCCCAGCACGAGCCTTCACTTTGTCTCTCCAACTTGTTTCTTCTCGCTAACCTGGCAGTGGTAACGAATTGGCTCCTTACCAGTGAAAGTGGGTTTTCTCGGAGTACTTCCGTTTCCCCCCCCCCCACATCAAATTCTTGGCATAGGATTTATAGATCCCCGCCGTTTTTATGTTACGTTGTTTCTTTTTATCATTAACATATAAATTCCCGTCCTGTTAACCTAATCGTACTTTGTTTTATACTTCAATTCAAGCCCACACCTCTAATCCACGTGCGGGGCGAAGGAGGATTGCTTAATCTTCGAGTGCCGCTAATTAATAATTATTTCTTCTGAAATAATTATTTTCAAATCAAAACAACTGCCCGTCACACTCGCACACTCACTAACAAAAGTTTCTGAAGCGCCCCGGGTTGGCTTTCGGGACCCCAGAAATTAATTCTGAGATCTGAAAGAATTTTAAACCTAAATTCCTGCCAATAATTTGGTTCGACCCCACTGAACTAAAAACGAAAGGTGGAAGACTTTGGAAACGTCGTCCTCTACACTTATGTTTCTACAACAATCAGTTGCCGTCCATTCAACAAAGTTTCCTCATGAATACTCTGCCCAAACAATCTATCAAAAAAAAAAACAACAAACAAAGCTGTTTGTAGCTGTAGCAAAGATGTGAAGGCTATCTGCTGACATCCCTAATTCTGAACTAGTATCTCAAAGGCAACCAATCAGCAGCACCATACCATCCACGCTAAGGGACTGACTGTCACTACTATTACGCATCCATGACTTAAAATTGGGGAGGGGGATTTTGTTGTATTGCACGGTTTCGGATCCGGTTCACCAGCTACAAAATCCATATTTCTACCACAGCCCCCCCCCCTATTTTTTCGAGCACCTACGTCACATTCAAATCTTCCTTATAAGAGTTTTTTTTCTTGCTTATTTAATAAAATATGTAATTTTTTAGTTGTTAGTTTTCGTGAAAACCTGACTCGTCGACGTTCATTTCATTTTACGCATACACATCGTGTTTTACGTTTACTTCTTAATAATTTCTCTTGGAAGTAAGCCTAATTCGGGAAAACGTATGGTGTTAAGTAAGTAACGCCGTGTTAAAAACAAATAATTACCGTAATTCTGATGTGTGTTTTATAACATAAATAAAACTGATAACAAAATTAAACTTTGCCAACTTATTAATCACATCAAACGAGTTGTAAATTTTAATAGCGTCTCAACTGTCGCATAAACTCAACTCAGCCTAAAGAGCGTCGGTATTGAAAGTAAAGCCTCTTCGGTACTGGACATACCTGGAATAATGTGGCGTGTTATTATATAATATAATTAATTTTTATCCCCCTAGAGTTCTTATTAAATACTTCTACAGACCTCGATTTACGAATTGCTAATAGAACCACGATTTAAAATATCTGAATGAAAATGGCGACAGTCTGAGTTTGAATGTCGTTGGTGTCTCAGTAGCAATGAAGTTTGTCAGTTTAAAACTTGTTTATCCCAAAATTTGTGTTAATAATTAATATAGATCCTCGAGAATAAAGATGACCAGAAGATAAAATCATAAGGCTTAACTACGAACGAACGGACAATTTTAAATCGAAGAAGGACCGGATGTAACCTAGTGGCTAGCCTCTATCATGATGCGGATCAGGAGGTTCGAGCCGCGATGTGCCGCCGAACACCCTCTGTACTTTCGGTTGCGAGGGTATTATACTTTGGTTAGAAGTAGTCGTGTAGACGGCGGGTGCTGCTTACTTTTTGTCAGCAGCTCAAAATCAAAATTGGATATTTCTTAGGCTTAGGAGCCCCTGGCTTAGCGCATGCGTCGTCTCAGATGTTGATTAGGTTCAATTTGGAAAAGTGGAAATTTAAAATTTCTGTATCTAAAGAAAAAGCAGATTCTTCAAAATAATTAGTTCATAAGATGAAATAAAAAAACAAAATCTTTGCCAACAGAATAACTGTTAGGAGCATATTGTAACTTAATATTGCAGTTGTTAGTTGCTTGTTACTATAAAAAAAACAAACAAAAAAAAAAACAATTACGCGCAATAACCGTTTTTCTCTATAAGATTAAACGTAGTGGTATTCGTTAGCCACAAAGAATAAACGCGACGGCATACTTTAGTTCCGAAGATTAACGATAGGGGTATATTTTTAGCTACTATGAATGGAATGGAGGTTTTCCATTAGCCATCAAGGGAAAAATATTTCAATAATACTTGAATGATAATAGTGTTGTTTTAGGGCAAACGGTATGAGAATCAAACACAACAGTAATATTTGGTATTAGGGAAACAACGCATTGATCTCGCTGTACATTAGCTACAAAATTACATGTGGTTGATTCAGAGATGTTCGTAGTTGTACATTGTAATCTGTCATCTTTAGGCTAAAAAAAAATGTGTCCAAAGAAAGTGCCCAGAATGTAATGTTGTGTAATAAATAGAAAAGGTATTTTTATTTTATTTTTCTACGTAACAGTGTCCCTCCGGGGGGTGGGGGGGTGGGGTGTTACGCACTTACAAAGTTAAAATCCGGAGCTCGATTCTTCGCTGTTGACATAACAGATAGTCCAATGTGGCTTTGCCATAGAAACAAATAAACAACCTACGTAACAGTAGGCGTATGACGTTAAAGGCTCAACATCCTTATTTATGGGTGTTATGTAGAAATTCGAATATTTTGTGTTATCTTACTTTGTGTGTGTGTGTGTTAACGTTAATTGCAATGCGTTAGGACGAAAATGTAAACTTAGTAATTCATCGCCAGGTTTGGTATTAAAAACGATGTTATTCGCCCGAAACAAACTGTTTGAATACAACACATATGAACTGCCAACATGGTATTACTTGTAATATTATTTTACGTTTTTATCCTTCCTTTTGTTTTCAAAACTTGCTTTAAAGGCGTTGCTTTGTATTCTATCCATGTCATTCCCACCTTTTCTGTTAAACCTAACAAGGCTTAACAACGAAAACATTTCTTCACAGCAAAAACGCAGCACAAAACCTGTAATGACATTCCGAGAAACGTTGGTCTATTCATCGCGGCAGTAAATGGAGGGGGGGGGGGTATTTTGCTTTCAAACGCCGCAAGTGCAAGAACACCAGGGTAACTGACTATGCTTTATACGTTTTATGATTTGAACACCCCGATAGGCCTGCAGGCGTGGGTGCACGTGAGTCAAGAAAAGTGATCGTGCTGTTATAATACATTTGTCTGCCATTTGAAAAGCAGACGACTTTTTTTTTATCGTAGCCCTTAGCAAATAATCAAGGAAATTCATGTTGAGAGGGATCAAGATTATTTCTTGATTTAACTCCTCCTCATCGTAGATGGCGCAGAGGTCAAGGATATATGTAAATTGTAAGACTTTAAACCAACTGTTTGTGTACAACGCCCTCTATATCTTGACGTGTAGGCGATCCCAGCCCGCCCAGCGACGGCGAACACTATCAGTTGCTTACAGGAAGGTGTATTGCGTGATTTTTATTGTTTTAGGATCTTTACCGGAAAAAAAAAATATCGTTGTTTCTTTTACTTTAAATTCCGTTCTAAATACTGTCTATCATGCATAACAAAGCGTAATTTATGCCCAATTGTTACTCCATTTGATCTAGAAAATATTTGGGACCTAGCTTTTTTTCGAGATTGGCATTTCAAGCATAGTGTTTGATAAGAATATTATACGTTAACAAAAACCTTATTTTTAAACCATCAATAAACTTTTAGAAGTATTTTAATAAATACTTTTAATAAATGACCTAATTTGTTTTATTTCATAAATGACTTTTCATACGGGATGAAACTTCTAATTATAATTATGAATTCGGTGGTGCATCTAGGTGTTAAATCTACGTGGACGGCGTATACCCATTTTCTGTTTGGGTTCTACAAACGCAGATGTACCTTTTACCACGATATTACTTGTCGTCTTGACCTTTGTGTAAGAATATACTAATTTTCTGCATGAATATATTAAACTTGTATACTCGTGTTTTCACGTGCATGAATATGTAAACTACCGACGATTAAGTTATTTTTAGAAAAATAATACGTTTGATTTTGAAATATCTAGTCTGATTTCAGTATAAAATCTGTTATAAACTCTGGATTAAAAATGGCCACTTTTAACCAGAATTGCCTTATGAAAATAACATATTTTATGTATTTAAGAATTGTTTTCGAGTGCAAAAATTTAACATCTGTTTCCGTTAAATGTGAGTGCAATAGTTTAACTGACGATAATATTGAGAGTTGCTAAGTTACGATTTCTGTGCGTATACGATGGTTGCCTAGTTACGATTTCTGTGCAGTCGAAAGAGAGTTGCTAGGTTATAAATCTTAACATTTTTGTTGTTTCTTCTATCATTCGTCAAGAGGACCATTGATCAAGAATGACCACCCGTTGACACTATCTCCCTCTATTGTCTTATTCCATAATTAAACCCTGAATGATCACCAGGTGGTGTAGCTACACAGTTTTGATAATTTTTTTTTATATTAGTGCGAAAGTATGAAAGTTGTCTTCCACGTTTTTAGGTTACTGTGGGATTATTCCTAAATCAAGAGACCTGCGACTACGTTTTAGCTCTCAGCTCTCCAATTTTTCCCTTGTTATCATTTGGCTTTGAGAAGTATACCACGTGGACCAACCTCTACCCCCCCCCAAATACCTGAACAAACATATACAATTTCTGACTGTTTTATATAATTTACCATGTTTATTTTTCTTCCTCAAGAACTATGCATAAACTGACTGTTTACAACACAACTGCTCCGAATGCTCAGCGGAAAGCCTGAGGGCTTATAATGTTAAAAATCGAGTTTCGATACCCGCGATGGGCAGAGCACAGATAGCCCATTGTGCAGCTTTGCGCTCTAACAACAAACTGTGATAGAATGTGTCTTTGGTGACCCAAATTATTCATGGTCAGGTAAGTAACGAATTTTGGAAGTATAAATTCCAGTTTTCCTATTATTGTTGCCACCTTGATTAGATGTAGGGAAGTAACTTTAACAAGCTCCGTATTTTTATTTTCAAAGACCGAATTTTTTACCTACCGCCACCACTTGGGCGTGTTTGGAGGTATAATTATCCTGCCATTCCACACTTACCAGTCCCACCACCAGAGGACACTTACTTCTACCCCGGAGAGAGAAATAAGGCATCGTTCAACCCCAATGTAACATTTTGGAGGGCACCATTTTACTGATGTTTCATTTGGTATGTTAGAACATTATTTACATATTTCCTTGTTTATTTATTTTGTTTGTATAGCGTCAAAACTTTAACAACGTTGTATATATACAGTATAATTTTAGGAATAAAATGATAATTTTTTTACAGTATTTCTTACAGGGAAACATTTGAAATTGTTGTATTAGAAAAACTTTATTGTGAAAAAAGGCATAGAAAAATAATCCAAAACAAAATTATGAGGTAATAAGAAAGTAAAGTGACGTATATTGGTTTGTAAGTCTTCGATTATAAATACTAATGTATGGTAAAATTGATCATTGGGTTGAGTTTTAATATAGAATTTAATGCTCTTTAATTACAACTTGTCTTAAAAATGTACTCGGCTCATTAACACGATACAAAATCGTTGCGCAACGTTTAAAAACAGTCGTTTTAAAGTTGTACAATTTGCTCCACATTCATAAAAATATCGTACATATAATACTCCATTTGTTACTTAAACAAAATTAATTATTATATTGATAGTGAAAAGGTGTTAAAATGACAAAAATCTAGTAATTAAACCTAAAGTTATTCTCAATTATAAAATGTACCGTTTTTATTTTGCAGGTTATGCGTACAGCATCGGTATCACCTTGTAAACATTGCATAGATAGACACCGTTTATCATCAATACGCAGTGTATATATTGTGTTCATATAGCGCCATCTATCGAAGAATAATCAAATAAATATTCCTGCTTGTACAAATTATGCAGTTTTTAATTATATGGTACTGGTAAAAAAACAAAAACAAATGTTATATATGGACGAACGGTAGCATCATAATGTTTAACAAGAATTTAGTTTAAGTATTGAAACTCAAAACTTGTTTTTTTTTCAACTTACAGATATACAAAAATGGAGTGTTCTAAAGAAACGTAACTCGCTAAAGAAAGTTTTTAATTTGAATTTTCCCACTACAACGAAAATTTATTATTTTTTTTTGTAAATTTGCCCATTTTCTTCCTACTAGTCCAATCTGAAAGGAGAAAAAAAACTTAAAATCCCAATTTAATATTATAACAGTTAACAAGAAAAACGTAGTGAAGTGTTTTAATATTATTAATTTAGATTAAAAAGTGTTTGTTCAAAAACAATGGCTGAAAAAAGTTGTAATATTAAAAGGAAACAACTGCCATCTTTTGGTCACATTTTGAAACAAAAAAATGACTTTTTTTGTTGTTTTTAATGCAATATTTTGTTTGGGTTCATCACTTTAAGTTGATACTATTTTTCAAGTTTGTAAAATGTACTTGATTAAAATCTAAATTACAGGTTATGGGAATGGTTTACAAGTCGCTGTGTGTGTATATACCCTATTCAAGATTTTTGTTTTCATGTATGCCATACAAAGGGGGGGGGTGGCTATCTACTATCAATTTTTTTAAAAATATAAAGTATTTAGCAAGAAAAAAGACCGAAAAGCTACATGTTATTTTTGTTGTTTTTCTGTTACTGTTTTATGTATATAGACTGTATTAAAAAAATGTCTGCCATTTTAAATAGAAGACCAAGTTTGATACTAGGAAGTCTCGTGAATAAAATGGTTGTTTGATTTAATAACAATACAAAATGTTGAATGAAAAAAAAAATTCCTGCTATCCTCTAGCTGTGACTTGTATAAAATATAGAAAGTACCCACTATCGTGCTGTCGTAACGTTTAACAGTCCGATAACTCGAAACAGCCCGCGTAAATTTACTCGCGTGTGTAACTGATTATTTTCCAACATAAAATAAAGTACAACTGTTTATCGATAAACAAAAAGTTTGATTACGTTCAACTTCCACAAATAGACCGATATTCTAAATTTGTAAATACTAAACAAAGTGCACCGAAAAATGGGAGAAGGGGGGGGGGACTTGAACTAAATTGAAACTGGTATTTTGGTTCTTATAAATTCTCATACTTGTAAAACCATAACTGAACTGTCACATGCCTGAATATCTTTTAAAAATATATATATACGTCAGACTCGTTGGCTTATTTGTTGTTAAAGCGCAAAGCTACACAATGGGCTATATGTACTCTGTCCACCACGGGTATCGACACCCGGTTTCTAGCGTTGTAAGATCGCCATATCACTTGCTGCCATTGGGAATACTTCCTTCATTGCCGATCGTGCTTTATTCTGATGAAGACATAATTACGTAAAATCTATTTCCCGATGCTGCAATTTTGTTTGTAAGTGACTTATGCCAAGGACAAAATGATTGACCTCACACCACACATCTTCACACACTGCTACAAGTCGACGTCGGCTACCGAAACAAAGTTCATTGGATCTGTGTCGGTATATGGTTGAATGGGATTGTTGTTTCTTCGGCCTTCTACCAAATAACGTGATCGACTCTCAAGATTACGACGCTTTCACAGCCGAAAATGTGAAACGTACTCGGGTGTTTTTCGAGCCTTGGACACGGTCTAATCGTTCACCGTTAATATATAAAGTGTATTATACTGTTGAAAAGCCACCCACGTTTCCTAAACTTCAAAACCATTCTGTGGTAACCTTCTAAAATTGCCAATCTACGATTCAGGAATACTTTGCGATATTATAAATGGGAAATTAACAAATCGGTAATCTGTTTTATCAATTATATATTTGTTAAATATTTCTTTTTTCCACCAGAGGTGAAATTGAAAAGAGCATCTGTGACGTAGAGGCCTAATGCATTCTTTGATTGGCTGTGCCCTCTGCTATGGACTGCAGTTTCGCCTATTCAAGGCTCGTCAGCAAATCAAAGAAATACAGTTAGGCCTTATGTAATATGGTCTGTTTGTTTGTAATTAATCACAAAGCTACACAATGGGCTATCTGTGCTCTGCCCACCACGGGTATCGACACCCGGATTCTAGCTTTGTAAGTCCGCAGACATTCAGCTGTGCCACTAGGGGGGGGGGGGGTATATAATATGGTGAGCCTTGAATAGGCGAAAGTCCAGTTCACAGCAGAATGTACAACCAATCAAAGCATGCATTAGACCTCTACGTCACACATTCTCTTCAATTTCAGTTTTGGTGGAAAATACATCATCTTTAACACATTTCTATAATCATTAAACAGTTGGTCCGCTGTATGATATTGATTAAAGGATTAGGCAAAAATGTCATAACACTGTTTACACACCTAAATGAATTTAGGTTGCTGGATTAAAAAGGACTGAAAAAAAAAAACAACCTAGATTTAGTCACCCGTTATCTACAACGGATGCAGTCATAAATATTTTTCAATTACTAAATCATTAATGCAGTTTCTTTTAGTTTCTATTACATAACTGTCACTAAATCACTTTCGAATTAAACATTTAATAAATAACAACAAAGCCACACTGAGCTCCTCCAAGCCCACCTTTCACCGCTTGGTGTTAAAAACCCATATTCAAAATTTAAGTTTAGGATGTTAGCAGGATAACGTTCACCAAAACCCCCCTAACTGCTTAGTTACAGCAGTTAGTTTATTTTACCATCTGCAAACCTGGTTGGAAATTTAATAATTGTTTAATCGATATTGTTTTTATATTACGATATGGTGAGTAGCACGTGAAATTTGGCAATCTATATTAACTCCATACTTAGTGATTGGGGGGGGGGGTATCGCTCCCCAACATTTTACTGCATTGTTCTTAACCCCAAACGTTTAGTGGGTCAATGATTGCGTTGTTTACAGAGCCTCTAATTACATTCTCGTATGTGACTCGTGTGTTAACAAAATTACTATCAATATTACAATTAATTCCAATCGTTGTTGTGATTAGCATGATATACAATCTAATTATTTATGTAGCAACTTTTCTTAATTATATACTAATTACTAACTAGTTTTTATCCACTCGACTGGGGGTGGAAAACTCGCCAGACCTTCATAAAAAGTAAAAAATAAACAAAACAACGACAACCAGGATCGAATCCTGACTCCTGCCAACACAGAAAAGTCCTTAAGAGTTCCTAAAGACATCAGTCGAAACGTAGGAT